GTGACAAACTTTACTTCTTTTCATAGACATTAAATAACTCACCTGAGTTGGCTAAATATCAAAACAAGCCAGAAGCTAGGAAGCCGAACTAATGGAACTAAGTAATCTCATGGGAAATTATTTGGTTCACTTAGGGCTCTTTCAGCAATGTGGATCAAAAAGTGACCAGCACCATTTTAAGGAGTGCTTTTAATTTTATATGTAGGTAGGTAATTGAAAGATAGGGGGAAAAAAAAAACTGACCTAGAAAATAAAGTATGTATTAGCATTATTCTTTTATTTCCTGAGCCTTTGAATCAAAGGACACTGATGTCTGTGTGAACATTTTATTATTCTGAATATTATCCATTTACTATTCTGAATATTATTCCTTTATCATCAGGCTTCCATGTTCCTATAAAACACATGCCTTCTTCATGCAGCCTATTACGCCAACTTTGCAGGCTGGGATAAATCTGAATCATTTGGCTTTTTATCCTAAAAATTAATAGGAAAATCATAATTGGTTTTCACCCTGATCTCATTGACGGAACAAGTCTTGTCTGCTTTAGCTTTATATGATGCCCTTCATTAATATACTAATAAAATTAAAGCATGTTTTATTTAGAAAATAGTCTTTTATGCCAGGTGAAGATCTAACTATCCATTATTTGTAGAAATTGCTTTCCAATTTATCCTTAGACTCTACTTTAAGCAAAGCTACATATTCTATGCTCCAGACACCTGGAAATCATCTCTAACTTGCCTCCTTGTTTTACTGCCAGACCTCTGGCCACCTCCCACTCGCCAGTCCCCATTCCTTTCCACAGAGCAGCCAGATAGATCTTTTAAACTTTCAAATGAGATTATATTATTCCACAATACTCTCTGCTATTGACTGAACATGTTCCCCCAAGCTGGATTCATATGCCAAAGTTCCAATTCCCAATGTTTTGGTTTTTGGAGGTGAGGTATTTGGGAGGCAATTAGGTCATGAGGGTAGAGCCCCATGAATGGCTTGAGTGTGTTTATAAGAAGAGACAGGAGAGAGATGATCTCTCTTTCTGTAAGTGAGCACACAGTGAAAAGGCAGCCATCTGCAAACCAGGAAGAGGGTCCACACCAGGAACCAAATTGGTCAGTACCTTAAACTTGGACTTCTCAGTCTCTACAACTGTGAGAAGTAAATTTCCATTGCTTAAGCCACAGTAATCTGTTATAGCAGCCCAAGATGACCCTCTCCAATGACTTTCTGTGGTTCTTAGAATAAAAGCTAATATCCTTGTGTCCCTAAAAGGCCCTACCTATATGACCTGGCTCTTGCTTGTTTCTTCAACATCATCATCCTCTCTCTCTCTCTCTCTCTCTCTCTCTCACTTATTTTGCTCCAGCTACACTGGCCTTCAAATATCTTATACATTGAGCTTTTACATTAGCTTGTTTTGCCTTCTAAGAGCATTCTTAATCCAGATGTTCACAAGGCAGGCTCTTTTTTTTTTTTTTTTTTAAGCCTAAATTCAAATGTCATCTTTCTCAAAGACTTTCTTACCATTCGGTATAAAATAAAACTCTCCCAGCAGACCAGGAGTAACTATGTATTACAGAAACCTGTTTTATTTGCTCCAGAGTACTGTATCACAAGTTGAGGTTTTTGTATTTGCATTTTTTTTAAATTTGTTTTCTGTCTTCCCCAACTGAAGGGCAAGTTTTTAATAAGTTAATATAAGGAGGACAAATTTAAACTGACTGGAGTTCACTCAAAATTTTTCATTGTGTTACAAGTTATTATCTTGAAAAGATTTGTGTTTTCTTTGGACTGGGTACTTGTATCAGACTGGGCCAAGCTAGAAAATATAAACTACTCTAATGTATTTCAAATAGAGAGACTTTAATGTAGAGCGCTGGTTACAAAGTTTATGGAAGAGATGAGAAATCACCAAGGAAATCATGAAGCATCCCAGAGATTAATCATTATGTATAGGAAAATGGTCTCACCGCTAAAACTAGAGAGCCAAAAGGAGGGAGTAACTGAAACTGAGATGCTGGAAGATGGAGTTTGGCAGGCATACTTGGTGGAGGCAGGGCTTATCTGGAAAAAACTGAGTCAGAAATGAAATGCAGTTAGAAACTCAGCAGAAGAGGGGGGAGAGGGGAGAGGGAGGGAAAAATGGAGGGAAGGCGGTGGAGAGGGAGGCGGAGAGTGGGAGGATGAGGAGAGGGAGAGAGAAAGGGATAGGGGGAGAAGAACGTCTTGTCTAGTCTTCCTGCTCTCAGGTCTTTGGCCAGTGGAAAGTACTGGCCAAACCTATTCAGCAAAGCAGAGAGCAAGGGGGCCTGGGAATTGTAGTTTTCTGGGATACAGAACAAAGCACAGAAGGGCTGGGGATGCATAGCACTGAATACAATTTCATAACATGTGTGCTGACAAGAAAGCATTCTACCACAAACTATAACTTGAAATCTCTCTTAGGAATGCCTTGCTATTTTTATGGCCTCCTAGGCCCTCTACTATAAAACTTCACCATTGGTATTTTGCCATATCTTTTCTAAAGGATTTTTGTAATCAATTTAATAGTTTCAGATTAGAACAACTATGATGCACCATGTGGTCCTGAACCACATACACACACACACACACAGGATTTTCCAGACCAATAGTTGAGAAAGTGAGACTTGTCCCTTATGTTCATCAGTGACATAAGGATACATTATGAAAACAGTTTCTCTCAGGTTTCTGTAAAAGTTAGGACTTTTCAGTAGCAAGTAACAAAAAGAGAATTTTACTGGCTCAGTCAAGGTAGGATCCAGGACTTAAACAGAACAAATACTATTCTGTTTCTCCCTCTTTCTTTAGTTGGAGTCCTTCCTGTGTTTGCTTCATTCTCAGACTGTATCCCTCCCCATGTTGGGAAAGATGGCCTCCAATAGCCCAAATCTAGCCCATATCCTTATGATTTGTAAGAAAGACAAATCGTCCTATAATCTGCACCAAATATTGGAGAAGACTATGACTTGGGTCAGCTGTGGAGTTGGTAAAAGAAACCTACAGTGACAGTCAACCCTGTCAAGACAGTTTGGAATGGGGGAAAGTGATTCCTCTACAAAAAGCGGATGTCAGGCTAATTCTCTAGCACTATTCTTCCCAGTAGAACTCTCTGAAGACTGGAGCATAAAAGCATAGCTACACATACTTGCTGCCTTCTGGTTAGAAAAAAACCAATAGTCACCAAAAGCAAGGTATCAAAAATCAAGACATGAGGCCAACATTTATTTTCAAAGTTTACACGTTTCCAGAAACATGGCTCAAAGCAATGGGTGACCGAAGTAGCAGTCTCAGGATGTCACATACCAATGGGGGGGGGGTGCAAAAATATTCAATCTGACCAACCAGCTGGTGAGTAGCTAAAAGATATAAGGATGCTCTTTTTGAACTGAGGAAGCAACATTTTGTGACAGTGACTGAAATCAACTTGTGTTCTGTTGAAAGGTCTCTTGGCCTCTCCATTGGTATTTTCTTCCATAAGTAACAACCAGGAACTTGTGTTTTCTTCAACTGCAGGAATCTGTGTTTAAAAACATCAGTAGCCTGGTGATGGGTATTAAAGAAGGCATGTATTGAATGGAGCACTGGGTGTTATATGCAAACAATGAATCATGGAACACTACATCAAAAACTAATGATGTACTGTATGGTGATTAACATAACATAATAAAGTAAAATTTTTAAAAAATCAGTAGAAATAATGTATTGTGGAGTCTCTCTAAGGTTAGTGGTTATAAATAACCCTGGATAAAATGGAACATAAGTAATAGGCTAATCTACTGAGTTTTCATATATTGTTTTAAAAACAATGAAAAAAATTCCAAAATTGTCACACGATCTTCATTTACTTGTTGCTAAACTGTTAAAAATGAATCTCTTTCTCTGTTGTTTTTACTGGCTTCCCTTTAGGAAAACAGACATGCATGGAGAATCAGCACAAATTCTCTACTTTCATTGCATGTTTGTATTTTTTCTTGAGGAGCTCTCTTTTCTATCACTGGCTAGAATTGATAAGGCCCTTTTTTCCTTTCTCTCTGTTCCCTATGCTTCTCCTTAGACTTCTTTGTCAGACGGCAGAACACCTGTGAAACCATGCTGGGTAAGCGATGTCAGATTTTTGAAATCAGATTTTTCGTTAATTTTATAATAGAAAAGTTACTAAGCCACGTTGAGTCTCCATTTTTAAATTGTAATATTGGGGAAAATATACTACCTCGTGAGATGAATGGTAGAATTAAAACAGCAGATATGAAGCTTACAATACCCAGCCTGAAAGATAGGAATCACTTAGCAACTGTATTGTTTACAAAGGATGATGTTTGAGACAAAGATTCCAACTGTATTTATTCAAACAACAGGTGGTTGTATAATTACAAAGCAGTAATACCAGGTATTGTGTTCTGATATATAATCTTACAATTAGAAATCAAGATTTCAAGATTGCTTCAGGCTGATTGAAAAGCTTACTGATATTTCATACGACAGAAAGTAGTAAAAATGCAGCAACCTGCTTCTTCAAAGACATTTGCATTTGATGCAGATTCTTAGTCAAAAATGGAGCAGGTAAGTTGTTTTTCGGGTAAGCTGATAGATGCTTAAAATCTTAAATTTCTTTGCCTTTACCTTGATTGGGGAAGAAAATTCTTTTTATCATTATCCCTCCCATCTCATGTCTGCATTTTCCCTATCTGAGTTGTTAGCAGAAGATGCATGTGGAATCTGCCCATCCTCTTTTATCTCTAGATGATCTTTTAAATAGCACACACCATAATTGAGTTCAGGTGGCAGCCGTGAATGAGATAAATCTTGAATGAGACTAAGATGAATGACAGCACTGCTGGCCAAAATCCCACTGTCCCAGAAAGAAATGAGAAATTAATGGAATCAACACTGGTGTTCTGTGATTAAAAAAAAAGAAAAATGTTTAAACACATGCTATGAATATTTCAGTGAAACACTTCCCGCCTCCCTTTTGTACCTTTAATAACCCCATACTCCTGGGGTCAACCATGTAGAACCAGAACCGAACAGTACACATTCCGAGGCTTGCTGGAAAGTACTGGGAAGTAGTGATTCTCGCCGTGTGTCCTTCTTTGGGTCCAGATGAGCTGACAGACAGGAAGTGCTGGCCATTCCCTTGAAATAGACAAACACAGCTCTTTCAGTACAACGATCTGTGTCATAGCATGAGGCAGAATCTATTTAAGTCATATGCAAATTGCATGCCTCCCATCCACACACAATTAAACACAACTCGTTTTCTTTCCGTGGAGTCACATATCAATAATGTTTAATTCTTTGGAAAAAAAAAAAAAAAAAAAAAAAGAAAAAAGAAGAAGAATGTCACTGATTATATGGCTCCCCAAATTCACCTGAGTATGTGACTCTTGCCTAGTGATCAAAAATCTGTACTGACTCTGAAGGTACCTTCCTTTTCTTCTAATTTGCTCAAACCTGTCTGCCTGTTTCAAGTAAGTAAAATATTTTGTATGCTGTGTGTAGAGCAGGGACACGGGGTAGGAGAGGCTGACTGATAGTGTATCTCATTTCCAGTTGCTCTGATTCCCACACTGACCACAGTAGTAGTGAATGGCAGTAAGAGTAAGTGAAATGTAATTCTGAAAGTCACCATGCTGTTTTTTTCTCTGAGCAATAACTTCTATTCTCCTCAACTGCATCAGTATATGAAAGATCTCTCCATTTAAACACAAATGGATCTTTTCTGTAGATATTGTTGTCAAAATTCATCATAGCTACTATCCCCTGCATGGCTTTTACTAGGAAAGAATGAAATACATATATATATGCTTTCTTAGGTTAAATATTTATTTACAGTTTTAATTTTTTTTTAAAGATTTTATTTATTTATTTGAGACAGAGAGAATGAGAGACAGAGAGCATGAGAGGGAGGAGGGTCAGAGGGAGAAGCAGACTCCCTGCCAAGCAGGGAGCCTGATGCGGGGACTCGATCCCGGGACTCCAGGATCATGACCTGAGCCGAAGGCAGTCGCTAACCAACTGAGCCACCCAGCGCCCTATTTACAGTTTTAAATCAAAGTATTAAAATATTTTCTAACTAAAGGTATTCTATTTCTCCCCTGTGGAATTTTAGTATTGTTACTGAGATATATGGCTTTAAATCATCAGCTGTGCGTTAATAGTTCAAGAGGCTTCTTTTATGAAGCTTTCCTATTTAAGAGCTTGTTGTCAGGTGAATTTAGTACTCTCTGAGGAATCAGCCCTGAGATCATGACCTGAGCTGAAATTAAGAGTTGGACACCTAACCGACTGAGCCACCAGGCACCCCTGTAAGCAATTTCTTTGTTACAAACTTATTTAGATTATCTATTTATCATGTGAGTTTGGTAGATTGTGTCTTTGAAGGAATTGGTCTACTTAGATTATCAGCTTTGTGGGCATCTAGCTGTACATAATATTTCTCTATTATCCTTTTAGTGCCATGGATAAGTAATAAAGGTTCCCCCTTTTATTTCTGATAATTAGCAATTTGTGTTTTCCTTTCTTTTAGGTTTATATGTCTAGAAGGTCTTCAATTTTATTAATCTTTTCAAAGAACTAGCTTTTCATTTTGATTTTCCCTATGATTTCTTTATTTTTTTTGTAATTTCATGGTTTTAAATTCCAGTTAGTTAACATATAGTGTAATATTAGTTTCAGGAGTAGAATTTAGTGATTTATCACTTACATATAACACCCAGTACTCATCACAGGTGCTCTCCTTAATACACATCACCCAATTAACCCATCTCCCCACCCACCTCCCCTCCAGCAATCCTGTTTGTTCTCTATAGTTTATAAAGAGTCTCTTACAGTTTGCCTCCCTCTTTGTCCCCTATGCCATGCTCATCTGTTTTGTTTCTTAAATTCCACATGAATGAAATCACATGGTATTTGTCTTTCTCTGACTTATTTTGCTTAACAGAATACACTCTAGCTCCATCCACATTTTGCGAATAGCAAGATACCATTATTTTTTATGGCTGAGTAATATGCCATTGTGTATATATATATATATATATATATATATATATATATATATATATATATATCACATCTTCTTTATCCATTGGATATTTAGGCTTTGGCTATTATTGATAATGCTGCTATAAACATTGGGGTGCATGTGCCCCTTCAAATCTGTATTTTTTTAAATTTATTTATTTGAGAGAGAGAGAGAGTAGTCACAAGCAGGGGGAGGGGCAGAGGGAGAGGGAGAATCCCAGGCAGACTCCCTGCTGAGCACAACCCTGAGATCATGACCCCAGCTGAAATCAAGAGTCAGACACTCAACCAACTGAGCCACCCAGGAGCCCCACTTCAAATCTGTATTGTTATATCCTTTGGGTAAATACGCAGTAGTACAGTTGCTGGGTCGTAGGGTAGTTCTGTTTTTAACTTTCTGAGGAACCTCCATACTGTTTTCCAGAGTGCCTGCACCAGTTTGCTTTCCCACCAATAGTGTAAGTTCCCTTTTCTCTGAATTCTTCCCAACATCTGTTGTTTGCTGTGTTGTTAAACTTAATCATTCTGACAGGTGTGAGGTGATACTGCATTGAGTTTTTATTTGTATTTCCCTGATGATTAGTGATGTTGAGTATCTTTTCATGTGTCTTTTGGCCATCCGGATGTCTTCTTTGGAAAAATGTCTATTCGTGTCTTTGACCCATTTCTTAACTGGATTATTTGTTTTATGATTTCCTGATTTCAATTTTATAAATTACTCTTCCTAGTTTCCTAAGCTGCAAATTATCAGTTTTAGATCTTTCTTCTAATATATGCATTTGTTGCTAAAAAGTTCCCTCTATACACCATTTTCACTGAATCTCACAAATTTTTATAAGTTGTATTTGCTTTTTCATTTAATTCAAAATATTTCAAAATTTCCCTTGAGATTTGGGGTATGTGCACCCCAATGTTTAGAGCAGCAATGTCCACAATAGCCAAACTGTGGAAGAGCAAAGATGTCCATCGACAGATGAATGGGTAAAGAAGATGTGATATATATATATATATATATATATATATATATATATATATATACACACACACACACACACACACAATGGAATATTATGCAGCCATCAAAAGGAATGAAATCTTGCCATTTGCAACGACATGGATGGAACTGGAGGGTATTATGCTGAGCGAAATAAGTCAATCAGAGAAAGACATATATCATATGATCTCACTGATATGAGGAATTGTTAATCTCAGCAAACAAACTGAGGATTGCTGGAGTGGTGGGGGGTGGGAGGGATGGGGTGGCTGGGTGATAGACACTGGGGAGGCTATATGCTATGGTGAGCACTGTGAATTGTGTAAGACTGTTGAATCACAGAAATGTACCTCTGAAACAAATAATACATTATATGTTAAAAAAAAAGAAGATAGTAGGAAGGGTAAAATGAAGGGGGGTAAATTGGAGGGCAAGATGAACCATGAGAGACTACGGACTCTGAGAAACAAACAGAGGGTTCTAGAGGGAAGGGGGTTGGGGGGATGGATTAGCCTGGTGATGGGTATTAAAGAGGGCATGTACTGAATGGAGCACAGGGTGTTATACACAAACAATGAATCACGGAAAACTACATCAAAAACTAATGATGTAATGTATGGTGATAAACATAACAATAAAAAAGAGTTAAAAAAAGAGATTTTTTTCTTTGATTCATTATGTTATTTAGAAGTCTACTTATTTAATCTTCAAATATTTTAGAATTTTCCAGTTATATTTCTGTTACTGATTTCTATCTTAATTCCATTATGGTCTGAGAGCACACATTGTAGGATTTTTTTTTAAGTTTGTTAAGATGTGTTTTAGGGCTCAAATGTGGACTGTCTTGGTGAATGTTTCATGTGAGCTTGCGAAGAATGTATATTCTGCTGTTGTTGAAGTTCCATAAACGTCACTTATATCCAGCTGATTGATGGTACTGTTCAGTTTAACTATGTCCTTACTGATTTCTGCTTGTTGGCCCTATTACTGACAGGGTTGTTGAAGTCTCCAGCTATAGTAGTGGATTCATCTATTTCTCCTTGCAATGCTATTAGGTTTGCTTTGTGTATTTTGACGTTCTGATGTTAGGGGCTTACACATTGAGGGGTGTTTTGTCTTCTTAGAGTAATGACCTTTTTATCATTTTATAATCCCCTCTTTATCCCTGAATATTCTCCTTCCTTTGAAGTCTTCTTTGTCTGAAATTAATGCAGCCACTGCTGCTTTCTTTTGATTAATGTTAACATAGTATATTTTTCTCCGTTCTTTCACCTTTTTTTCCATTTATTCATCCTATTTATGTATTGATTGTATTTATTCTGGAAATGGGTCTGTTACTGACAATACATGGTTCTTTTGTTTTAATCTTCTCTTAGTCTTTTAATTGGTGAATATAGACCAGCAACATTTAAGCTGATTATTGAGATAGGTGGATTAATATTTACCTTATTTGTTATTATTTGCCATTCACTGGTATTGTTCTTCCTTGTTTTTTTTTCTTTCACTCTTTTTCAGACCTTAATTGAGGATTTCACATGATTTCATTTTTCATCATGTCTTAGCACACCAATTACATATACATTTTTGACCTTTTCTAGTGGTTGACAGTGAGTTTGCAATATACACTACCACTAACGCAAGTCCTCTTTAAAATATCACTATACCACTTCATGAATAGTATAAGAAACATACCAGAGTATTTTCCCAGTAAACTCTCCCATCCCTAATCTCTTAGGTCAGTTGTATTTTTGTTTTTTGTTTTTTTTTAGGTCAGTTAGGTTCTAGTAAAATAGTTTCTCTTGAGGGCAGGCTTTGTTCTGGGAAATTTTCAGAAAATGCTATTTTTCCCCTCCACCTGCTGAAAGCAGAGAGGAGTTTCCTCTGATCTTCACTGTGAGAAACTAACAGAGTTCCTGAAATTAAAACTTACAAATGTGTGGGGGACTTCCTAACGCTGAAATCCCCTGGACTATCCCTCCAATTTGTCCACATTGAGCCTACAGCAATTGATCAGTAATAGTTTAGGATGTCCTGCCCCATACTGACTCCTGCAGAGGTTTCTGTTTATGGGCGTCCACTCCAGTAAGTTGTGATTCTGTTTCCACTTGCTTGTCTCCAA